TTTAAAGCTAACTACAATATAGAACCCTGATTATCCAGTGAGCAAATTATTCACTCTATTAACCTTTTGTATAATCCCATGACATTTCACCATGTCAATATCAGCAGCAGATTTATCTCGTATCCAAGAATTTAATTTCTTCTTTGCTAATCGGTTCCTTTTTGATGATGGCATTGATGATTAAATTTGCTGCCAACATGCAGGTTCAGGACTAAAAGATTCCAGTTTTACCAAAACCTGCTGCCATCATCCATTTCCTATCAACATTTGGCTTTACAAATGTTGGTTGGAGGTGAAAGAAAATCAGAGTAGAAGTGCTGATAGTGTGAATTAGCTTAAGGTAGACGTCTACTTGCCAGAAAGTGATCCACACACACACACACTTGATTTCATGACTTTCCTCTGTGGCACATATGGAATGAGACATGCAGAATCCAGTTATGAAACTACAATGGACTGTCGCTAACTGTTATAATACTGAGTAGCGCCTTCTGTAGTATGTCCGCCAATGCGTAGCCCTCTTCAGTCACTGAGATCCGTTGTAGTCATCACCCGCTTGTTCTACCGTATGAGTCCTTGTGATATGGATCCTCGTCTTCGGCCTTGCCCATCAAGGTGTTTCGAACTCCCGTTGGCATCGTTCTCCAGTCACTGAATCACGCAATCCCGTCCAACACGACAAGGATCCACCATCAGAGGTACGCACATAGAAACATTCACACACACACACACACACACACACACACACACACACACACACACACACACACACACACACACACACATATATATATATATATATATATATATATATATATATATATATATATATATATATATTTATATATAGGTTGTTTCGATGTAAACAGTTCGTCATCTAGTATTACTTTATCTACTGACAATAATTGAAGATGTAGAAAATAATGTCATAAACAAGGTAATTTCTTATCACACTTCTTCAAAGAAAAGGTTAGGAAGGAAACCTCTATCAATACTGAAATATTAACAGTTACTGGAATTGAGGAACCTATTTTTTCTGAAATATTATTTTAATAGAAAGATTATATAAATTTCAACCAAGCAGTAATACTGTGTGTTCGATTTATGGATGACGAATGTTTCCATATTAGGAAGAGTCGAATATTATTATTACCATTACTTTTGTGTTTTTTTGTTATTTTTAATCAGTTTCTCTTCAATCAAGGCAGTAAAACCACTAAGACACAAGTTGTGTGGGAGAATTAGAAAACAAAATCTTTACTAAAGAGTAACAACAAAAGAAGAGTAATCAGGAATATAGTAAAAAACGATTGACATTATATTTAAATTTTTGCAGATTAAAGTTGACCGGAAGGCATGAAACCAGAAGTGAGAGAAGAAACTGTTAGCATAGAACTTACGGTTACGTCTAACCAACTCAACTGTAAATTGATGAGACTTCATCACCAATTTAGTACTGTGTTTAAAGTTCAGGACAATAATATTGCTGACCCCTCTTTGGATTTTATCAAGAATAAAACTTATATCGTAATCTTCCTGATATTATAAATCAATTGCAGCAATTTTGGTTGATGTTTGGGCTTCACCTACGTATCCAGACACTCTAAAAAATATAAAACATATCAAAAGTAGTGATGCAAAAATAAATACATTTGATAAGAATTAAAGTGTAGGAGGATTTATATCTAGTTCTCAATAAAAGATGAAATTACTTTACCAACGTGTTCTTTCTATCAATAACCCTGGGTATGAAGATAAACTACCTTCGGCAGCCACGCCCCTGATCGGGAGATTAGAGGTTTTGAAGAGCATGGAACCACCATTGAATTGCTGTTCTTTCCAGGTCGTCTCTGATCCGGGGGGGGGGGTAACGCTTGTTAGGGTCCCAGCTATGCGCAAATAGAGCAAGCTCCCACTAATTGTAGAGATGGCCTTTTTTTTTTACTTTGTGAGCTTCATTGGCTTTCCTTAATACATAACGGGAATTCATATGACCAAATAATTCTAGTTTAGTTTCATCTGACCATCAAACAGAGTTCGAATGTTTATTCCATGTTCTATATGGCTTCTTGTTAGACATTTTCATGACGGTCGTCCTCGAGTATAGAATCCAGAGGTTGGCAGTGAATATTTCGGAGACAGTAGGAAAGCGTAGTGGAGGTTCGCAGTGGATATCACAACAGAGTGTAGTTCATCCTTCTCCTGGTCGCCTTTGGTTCTTCCGGTAGTCGAAACAAGATGGCCGCCTTTATACACGACGAATACAGTGTTGTGCGGCTTCGGATTGGTCAACCTTCCATTGGTCGACTATAAAGGTAAATAAGTCATTCTGACTCGCTCACTAGTTATATGTATTATATACCCAAAAAACCGTAACACTTCTAGCATAAGCTAATCTGCATTTTAGGTGTTTAGTCGTAAGCAAGGGAGTTTTCCTTGAACGACAAACTCGAAGTCCTGCTCAATGCTAGTGACTGTCTTCGTCGATCAATTCAGCTCTGATGTCTTTACTTCAATGACTTTGTTCTTTGTTGTTAAGTGAGAATTCTTCGAACTATCTTTAGCAATTTTCCTTCCATTATCCCAGAAATTAACCGTGTTTAATTTATTCTCTACAAAATGAGTCTCGTTAATATATATATATATATATATATATATATGGGGAGAGATATGAAAATACTAAAGTAATAACAATGCTACATGATAAAGCTACAGACATCAATAGGAAAACCAGAGAATGTATCGATCAAAAAATATAATCATATAATGCAAAACGATAAAAATGAGAATATTCTTTGGATTAATTAATGGATCAATTAAAATCAGCGGGGTGGTAGCACCAGTTAGGGTCCCAGCTATGGGCAAATAGTGGAACCCCAAACAGTACGAAAGTATAAAAATACCAAGAAACTAAGAAGGCATGGTGGATAGCGGCTCGGATTGAGGAATCACAGAGCAGAGTTCGAATTCCAGTGGAATCCATTATATTCACTTACGTGCCAATTCCCTTAAGAAAGGTGTAAATCCTCCTCTTCTCCCTCCAGCTATGGGTAAATAGGAAGACATATTGGCTTCTATAGCCTTGGATGGCAGCTGGTCTAGGAGAAGGACAACTCTGAATTCAAAACCTGCGGAGGGTCGTTTGGGGACCTTGTGGCACGTAGTGCAACAGGTCTCTGTATTGGCCCTTCAAAAAAGTGTGGATGGTCCTTCACCACTATAATCAGATCTCATGTGCTGTTGTCGGGCTGTCGGCTTCCTAGGAACTGATCTGCTTGACCTTCATACGTCGAATTCGACGGGGGAGTCAGTATATATATATATATATATATATATATATATATATATATATATATGCATTTGTGTGTGTTTGGATAAGTATGGGAGGAAGAGAGTTTGTAGACATAATAAGTGTAGAACTACAAGTGAACAATGCATGCTATGGGGAAAGCTTCATACCTTAAGCAAAATTGGCCTTAAACATAAAACGGGAACAAAATTATCCCTTCGTCCACATGTTAAAATTATTTTTTTCTACACATGTCATTAGCTACACCGGCATGTTTTTAGATTTATTTACATTCTATGGAATATAAATATATATAAACTAAAGTGGCTACAAAGTGAGGGATCATTTTATCAATTGCTTGTTATAAAGAATTGATACTCCATTTTATATCCGCATTTTAATTTCTTGTTTGTTAATCAAATTTTGACTACGTATGAATCAACATCTTCTTCCTCCGCTTTTGGTTAATTAGTAAAATTTTTATCACTAAAATCTTTATCTCAAAAAAAAATTCTTCAATCCAAAAGTATTTTCTAGCTTTAAATAATCTGCAAAGGGTTGATAAGCCGTAGAAAATGAATGAATCAATCAAGCTGATCTGTAGAAAAACTGACCTTCTCTACATTTATTATTGAAAGATGAACACGTCCATCTGCTATGAGTAGAACATCTGCTCATGGAAAAGTGGCAAAAAGTGTATCGCAAAGATGTAGTTTTATCCAGTCGTACGTACGTTTGTCGCACTGAACTACTGCATTTTCAATCCATGTTCTCATGTGATTAAACCCTTCTTCACTCCACCTTTTGATTCCAGTGTTTTCCTTACAGGAAACTCGAGCGTAAGACAAACTTTATAACGCAATCATTCCATTTGCTAAGTTCGTGAATAAAGAAATCAACGTCATTTCTTACGTCACCCAAATCCATTCCATAATGCTTTTATCTTTTCCATTTTGTGTCTCAACCCTACTAATTATCCTTCATCTACAGTCGACGATTCTAAGAGACTCTGTGCCCTCGTCAATGCTAAGTTGATCGAGGGTGATGTCTCAGCTGCAGTTAGAGTATTGGCCTCATCCTGTACTATACTAGCTACTACACTAGAAGTTCTCGCAGCGCTCCGTCGGAAACATCCTGCGCCACCATCAGATATAAGACTTGTTCAGATGGAAAACAATGATTCAGATATTGAAATCTTAAAGGAAGCAATGGTTGCCACTCTGAAGTCTTTCTCAGGAAGCAGCAGTGGAGGTGTGGACGGCCTTCGACCTGGTCACACCAAGGACTTAATTTCTGCTGGTGAAAACATCTATAACAGCTCTTATTAATTCCCTTCTCCGAGCTGAGATACCCCAACATGCTCGCGACTTAATATTTTCTGCCAACTTAACAGCTTAAAAAAAAAAAAGACGGCGGTATCCGCCCTATCGCTGTTGGTAACATTTTTCGTCGTCTCGCGGCAAAAATTGTTTGTAGAGTTTGATGTCAAGGAGATATGTCCAGCTCGGGGTAGACATACAGAGCGGATGTGAAGTCGCGGTTCATGCCACAAAAATCATTTTTCGAGAATACATCACCTGTTTCACCCGGTATCTTATTACAATTGAAAAACACTTTCAATAACATCAGAAGGGATCATGCCCTGGAAGTTTGCCATCAACGGACTCCTTCCATATTTAAACTGGCTCATCTTTCGTATAGTCATCTCAGTATGTTGATCGCCTCTGACAATATTATCTCTTCTGCTACTGGAATCCAGCAAGGTGATCCACTTGGTCTGCTACTATTTTGGATGGCTGTTGACGGGGTAGCTCGTTCCATCGCCTCTCCTTTCAATATATGGTATATTGGCGATGCAACGTTGGGAGGATCCATCGAGGCCGTAGCTGCTGACCTCCGACGAGTTATTTCTGCTTTATCTCTGCTTGGACTTGGGATTAACTCGTCCAAATCTGAGATAATAAACTTGAATTATAGTGCAGATGATTTTGAGAGTGCTATCCGGGATATCAGACTCATCCTTGAGGATATAAAAATAACATCTAATGAGGAATTACATATTCTTGGTTCTTCAGTCTTTCCAATGGTCATTCGAGAATGTTTGGATACTAAGCATATCATTCTAACAAGAATGACTGAGAAATTGCAATTAATTGATGCAAATCCAGCCCTCTTCCTCTTGAAGAACAGTTTTTCGCTACCGAGTTTCCTCTACACCCTCCTAAGTGCCCCTTGCTACCTCGAACAGGATTTCTTAAATGATATGGATATCACAGTTAAGAGATGCAAGGAGTTAATTTGCAACGTTAATATCGACGACATAGACTGGAGGCAAGCAAAGCTCCCTTTGAGTTTCGGAGGCCTGGGCCTTCGATCAGCGGCAGACTTGGCCCTTCCAACATATCTTTCTTCGCTTTCTTTCAGTTGCAAATTAATTGATGAGATACTTAATGTTTTTCGGGTATTTTTTTTTGAACCAGCAAGCAGCGCCTGGGCCCAAGAATTACGTTCTATCCCAGTAGACAAATCAAGATAAAAAGCTGGGATAAAGTAAAATGCGAGGCCAATTTTCCTAATTTAAGGCTCTCTCTGGATCAGCATCGCTTCGCCTGTCTGCTATCTGCTTCACAACCGAGAAGTGGCGCCTGTCTCAAAGCAGTGCTCTCCTCGTCTACCGGTACCCTTCTTGATGATGAGTGCACTCGGGTCAGAGTCGCGATCCGCCTTGGGCTCAAATTATGTGAGTGTCACAGATGCAGAGGTGGAGCTTCCATTGATAAGTTCGTTTTGCATCCTCTCTCCTGTCGCATGCAGCAATAAACGACATAATCAGAAGAGGTTTGGATGAAGCTGGATTCCCTTCTCAAATCGAACCCGTAGGCCTCGACCGTGGTTATGGTAAGCGGACGGATAGCATTGATTTGGGATGCGACATTTTCGACCGGTAATTTGATCAGGCCCGCGGTTGAGCCCGGGTTTGTCGCCCGGGACGCAGAAATAAAAATGAATAGTTAAATATTTTTCTCTTAGTGATAGATTTTTTTTTTTATTCCTGTGGAAATGGTGACTTCAGGAGTCATTGACCCTCGTTCGATGGCGTTCCTTCGGAGGATTGGCAGTATGGCGTCTCGATTAAGGGACGAGTCTCGCGAAACGGAGTGGCTCTTGCAGCGTGTCTCACTAGCGATGGTGCGAGGTAATGATCTCTCTTTCATTGCGGCTGGTAGAGGATAGCAAAAAAAAAAAAATTATAATTACTTTGTTCAATCTTTTTTCAATCTTTTTTTTTGTTTTGTTGCTCAATCAAATTTACTATTCATATATTCTTTTTAAAAATAGATTTTTGTGCTGTCAAACAGAAAATGAAAACAATTCCTACCTATATCTGTATTTTCCACCAAACCGAAATCTTTCTATTTGCTAAGTTCGTGAATAAAGAAATCAACAGATGCAGATGTGGAGCCTCCATCGATGAGTTTGGTTTGCATCCTCTCTCCTATCGTCATAGTGCCGGCCGCTTTCCACGGCATGCTGTCATTAACGACATCATCAAAAGAGGTTTGGATGCAGCTGGTTTCCCTTCCCTAATCGAACCCGTAGGCCTCGACCGTGGTGATGGAAAGCAGCCGGATAGCATTACCATTTTTCCTTTTAAAATGGGTAAGTCATTGATTTGGGATGCGACCTGTGCAGATACATTTTCGACCGGTAATTTGATCAGGTCCGCGGTTGAGCCGGGGTCCGTCGCCCGGGACGCAGAGATGAAAAATATAGATAAATCTTCTCTTGTTGATAGATTTTTTTTTACTCCTGTGGCAGTTGAGACTTCAGGGGTTATTGGCTCTCGTTCGATGGCGTTCCTTCGGAGGATTGGCGCGATGGCGTCTCGATTAAGGGATGAGCCTCGCGAAACGGAGTGGCTCTTACAGCGTGTCTCACTGGCGCTGGTTCGAGGTAATGATTTCTCCATCATTGCGGCTGGCAGAGGATAGAAAAAAATTGTTTATAGGTACGTTGTTCTGGAATTGTCATCAGTGGTCAACTGAATTTGTTTTGTTTCAAAAAATTTATTCTCCTGTTTGAAAAAAAAGAAAGAAAGAGATGAATATGATAAAAACGAGAACGGATGGCCAACCATTTTGGAAGAAAAAAAAAACGAGAATAAAAGAACATAATGAAAAAAAAAAAAACGTTTGCATGACAAAAATAAATAAATAAAACTTCAAGAAATCAAGCCAAATATCTGACGTCATCTCTTACGCCGTCATCAAAATAATTGACGTCATCTCTTACGTCACCCCAACCCATTCCGCAATGCTTTTTTCTTTACCATTTTGTGTCTCGATCCTACTGATTATTCTCTATGGGAAAACGATACATAAATGGTACCTGATGAAGGCTGGTGGCTACAACGGTAGAAAGGTTATGATGACCAAAACAAAAATACGAACAGCAGTCAGCATGTAAACAGGGTAAATAACAATAAGTCTTCACCCAAGAAATTCAAACAGATCAGGTATTTCTTCTAATTCGGTATAAATTTCGATACCTAAGGTTTAAAATGAATTTTTTAAAATGAAAAAGCTTTCTTGAAGATTTCATTTTAACTTTAATTGAAAGTTGAATGATTAATTTTATTATTTCCAGTAAGCAAAATATTCTGGTGTATTTCAGATAGAAATTATATAGATCAGAATCTCAACTTTTTGGTCAATTTCAGAATATTTTCTTAAAAGCGGCCATTTTCTTAATTTTAAGAAATTTGTAAACAAAACAAAATTATCAGTTTTAAAAATCTTCCAAAAATAAAATATATATTTGTGATACGTTGTTTTATTAAAATTAGCATAATTAAAGTTAAATTAATCTGATTTGGAAAAAAAAATTACTTAAACCATAAAAAAGTAATATACAAGTATTTCTTAACGACAGGTGCTATTTCTCTTTCAACTTTATTGACGTATCGGTAAGTTCCAAGGTGATGGCAGCTAGTATGGATGACCAGAATTGACATAAATTTACGCAATCTAAGTGAACGCATTTTTTTGTTTTTAACTACCAAGTAATTTTTACAAATGAACATATTTTCAGCAATTATCTTATATTTTATTGACTTTTAGTTACATTTGAAAATGCTTTTGAAAAAATAAAAAAAATTAAAATACTATAAAAATTTTCTTAAATTAATTTTAAAATTTAATAAAATATGAAATTAAAATAAAGATAAGTAAGCAAGAACATTAAGACATTGATCTGGAAATTTTTTTGTAATAATTAAAATATTTTTAATCATTGATAGTTAATAAACTTTAATTAACATTAGTTAAAAATATTTTTCTATTTTTTTCAATCCAAACACGCAATCTTTTTATAATAATACCATGTTTAAGCTATAATACATGAAAAATGGGAAAAATTAAAGTAAAAAAATAATAAGTAAAAAAATTATTTTAAAAATAAAATAGTAAAACGACGTTTATTAATCTTTTCGATTTTGGATTCGTAAATTTCGTTTCCGCTTAACTGAAATATCGCATTAAAAAAAAACAAACAAATTAATATAGAACTTTAAACGATTTTTAAACTATTATAAATTATTTCAATTAAAATTTAAAAAATTGAAAATATTATCGTAAATATTCATAATTCATCGAAAAAAATAATTTCAGACAATAGTTTCCTTAATATAACTTATTTACAAAAGCAATTAAAAACTTTTCTAATTAAATAATGTCATAGTTACATTTTTAATTTACTATTCGGAGCAGTTAGAATGGTAAAAGTTTGAAAAAAGAATGATTTACATTCTCCAAGGAGTCCTACTTCTAACTAATAAGAAAAATCTGGAAAAAAAAAAGCAATTCGCGAAATTTCATGAAATTAAGTAAGTGTGGGGTAACATATTTAAAAAAAAAATATTTTTTACTAAGATTTTCTAAAATCAAAAATCAAAAATAATTTCATTCATTTGTGAATAAGTTCTGAAAGTTTCATTAAAATCCACCATTTTTTTGATTTGTACAAGAATTTCGAAATCGATGTGTTTTCACTGAAAAAAATTGCGCAATAATGTAATTGTAATTATTACGCCCACCGCTGACGTTAACAACACAAGAATTTGAACCAAAATGTCGAACGTCCTAGAAATGATTAAAAACATTTAAAAAATAATTAAAAAAAATAGTTTGGTCTTTCCTCTTAAGTTATATTAAGGAAACTATTGTCTGAAATTATTTTTTTCGATGAATTATGAATATTTACGATAATATTTTCAATTTTTTAAATTTTAATTGAAATAATTTATAATAGTTTAAAAATCGTTTAAAGTTTTATATTATATTTTTTTTTTTTTGATAAAGTTATTTCAGTTAAATGCTTTAAATGTTTTTTACGAATCCAAAATCAATATAGATTGATAAACGTCGTTTTACTATAGGATTTTTAAAATCATTTTGACGATAAAACTTTGTTTTTATTAAGTGGCTGTTTTTTTCCGCGAAAAAGTGGCGGAACCTAAATCTATTTAGATGGCACTTCATTATCATTCATCATTATTCGTAGTCGGGATCATGTGAACCTATGCAAATGATCATTTATTCAGCAGTATAGTAAGAGCTACGCTTTTACAATTTCAGTTTTGAATTCAGAGTTAATTAACTCAAAGCAGCTTTGCCCAAGAATTGAAATAGAACCCAAGTCTGTCCTGCTATTTAACCCATAGCGCAACATATAATAGAACCTAAACGACATTGATAAATCGGCATTTTGTCCCTCGCTGGTGTTCTTGACATTCTCAGCGTGAACTGTTCACACTGTATGAAGGAAGTAAGATTATGCGGTAACGTGTTCAAATAGCACAAATAATTGATTGTGAATTCTCCGCTTAGAGCTCTCTTGATGTTGATCCTTGCTTCCCTCAGTGCAAACCTTCCAAATTTGCTGCCATTATTGGCATCAGTGCTTCCCTTTCAATCATTTCAGTATTTCCCGATTTTCGGTTTACTTCTCGGTGTCACTATAGCACTAGATCGACGTCAAATTTCGCGAGAAACGCATCATTCCTCGCCGCGTTCCGAAAAGCACCATGTCTTTGCTGCAGCACAAGTCTTCGGTTCCTCATAAAGTTTGGAGCCATTTGTCAGAAAACAGAAACGTCAACTGGAATATTCGACTCCATCACAGAGAAATCAGGGCAATAAAATGGAAATTAATTCTATTTGATCTGCCAAAAAAAATCAAAACTAAAATTGTGCTATTCCTAATACATTCATACAAATAATAGATCATCATATCATTTATTTTATCACGCATGCACACATACACACGCACACATACAGACATATGGGATTATATATCTCAGTATATTCCTATATATCTAGCCATCTCAGCCTGTTCATATTTTATCTATCTCAATTTCAGGTTGGTCATATCTATCTATCTATCTATCTATCTATCTATTTAATTCATCTAAATATATATATATATATATATATATATATATATATATATATATATATATAAAATTAAGGTTCTCCCTGTGCCGCGCCAGGAAATTTTTAAAACCTAAATCGATCCTCCAGATCTACAAATCAACAATTCATCCCTTGCATGGAGTATTGCTGCCATATATGGTCTGGAGCCCCTTCTGTTTGCCTCGGGTTTTTTGATAGGCTCCAGAGGCGGATATGCAATATAATTGGCCCTGATCTGGCATCTCGTCTACAGTCACTTTCTCACGGACGCGCCGTCGCCTCTCTCTGTCTGTTTTACAAATACTTTCATGGCAATTGCTCCGAGGAGCTGCATTCGCTGGTTCCCAGACTTCATGAGTTCAAGCGCCTTACGAGGCTGGCATCCCACTCTCACCCCTTCACTGTCGAAACTCCTAAATGTAGCCGTCTCTTCTATTCCAATAGCTTCATGTCTCGCACCTCTCGCATGTGGAACTCCCTTCCCTATTCCAGTTTCCCCTGAGAGCTATAATCTCCAGCTATTCAAATGTAATGTCAATCGACATCTCCAGTTGCCTTGATCTATCCACTATCCTTCTCCTCATCCTTTCTTCTATCAACAGTATCTGATCTTGCTCCAAATTTTCTGTAACCCCTTGCCGTCCTAGTGGCTTCCCATTTTGTTTGGGGTGAAACGCTTAAAAAAAAAAAAAAATATATATTCATATTTATATATATATATATATATATATTTAAAAATTAAAACCCGTAAAATCAAGCATTTTTTCGTTGATATATGTTTGCTTAACGGAAAATATTATAAATGTGTTGTCTATTTTATTTTTATAAAAAAGATTTAACGTCTGATAAGATTTAATTTGAATTTTTATAAATGAACTTAATTAAAATAAATTCAAAAATAAATGATCCATTTTTTTAATCCAATTCAAATTATTTTTTTATATTTGAATTAAAATATTTAAATAAGATATCAATTACAACATATTAAGAACAATATAACGGACAAGACACATTTTTAGTCTGTGATTTGTTTAATAAACATTTGATCTAAATCAACAATAAACAAAATGCATATAAGAATTTAATTTTTTATTCGCATCTTCTCAATCACGAAACAAATATGACCACGCGAAATCATTTAATTATTATTAATTAAATATCTTAGCCATTGGTTTAAACCTATGTATCTTCTTTACCAAATATATAAATTTAAGTTTATTGTATAAATTCCATAAATGAATTTTTGTTTAAAAACCAAAGGATAAAAGAAATAAATCTTATGCTATATAATTCAGAGAAAAAGCAAAAAATAATATATATTCATATATTTGGCATTTATTTTTCAAATTTTTGGATGGCATATACGTGGTCAATAAACGGGGATTTAAATGGATAAAATTTTGAGAGCTACAACGGATTAATAAAAAAATTTTTCATAATGATCCAATATCCTGAAAACGACACGATATATATTTAAAAAATTTTAATTTTATACATTTTTTTTGAATCCATCTAATATATATTTATATATATCATTTTAATATATATTTTATTTATTAGTTTTTCATATCTATCCTATCTTTTTTCAATTTATTCATATATAACTAAAATTTAAATAAATTTAGATATATTGAATGTGAAAAGGTTATCCAAAATTTTAAAATCCTTAAGAATCAATTGGTTTAGATTAATTTGGTAACTAATTTGGAAAGAATATTAGAACATTTATAAAAATGTTTAATAGAAAAAAATAATGATCGAATTATTTCAGAAATTTTTTTATGCAAAATTGCCAAAATTTTCAAATGATGAAATTATATATAAGGTTTTAATAATTGGTTGTGAAAAAAAGAAAATCAGTCTATTGACGACCAATTGCTGGAACATAATCGTTTCGCAATATAGACCTTATATTTTTGGGAAATATTCCCATTAAATTTGCATTTTTATAAAAATTGAATTCAAATTAAAAAATATATAAAAATATTTTTTTATAAATTTTCTTTACCCCATTGTTTTAAAAAAAAAAAAACATTTAAATAATACCCCAAAATAAACATTATATATATAAATATATATATATATATATAAATTAATTTTTTAGTTAGAAAATGACGACTAAAATTCTTGTATAATATCTGTTCCGTTTTGTAAGAAATAAAAAAAACATTGATTTCCAGATTAAAAAAAAAAAAAATTGAAAAATTTTTCCCAAAATTGATTTAATAAATTTGGAATGATAGATATATTAATATTTAATTAAATATATTTATTAAAATTTCTTTAAATGGGAGAATCGAAAATATTTCTTGAAAACTTAGCTGAAGAAATTTTTTAAGGTAAATGATAGATGATGCTCTATGGGACTTGTATATTGAGAATTGATATGAAAATGTATATAATATATTTTAAAAAAAAATTGGTAACCGAATAAATGCATACTTATTTAATTAAAAATTTTTTAAACAGTAAAATTAAGATAAAACCTTTTTGTGTGGGATAAGTAAAATAAAGTAACAAAAAAATGACCACAAGAAAGAAGTATAAAAAATAATTTTAAGTTTAAATTGGTTTATCAAATTGACTTATTTATTTGCCTTTAAATAAATTATTTAAATAAACAATATGAAATTGGACATTAAAGCTTAAAAACCATTTTTCAGTGTTTTTTTGTTAAAATTATATTTTCGGCATTTATATCTTTAAATTTTTTTTAAATTTTATCCAAATATTTAAATTGAAAGAATAAATTAAATAAAAGATTCAATCAAAAAAGAAAATGATTGGCAGAATTTTTATCATTTTGTTTTTAAATTATATAATAAGTGGAAAAAAAAAATTGAAATCCTTTGATTTTTCTATTTAAATAAATTAATCCAAAATTTAAAGCATTTTTATTTAAATCCAAAATCTTCATTGATCTTTTAAACATTCGTTATTTAAATCATTTATATGATAAATTATCACCTTCCATTATACAATAAAGGACAATTACACATATAATATAAATAAATGTATATATATATATATGAGAATTAACAAAATTGTGTAATATATTTTAAAATAAAATAAATGGTTATACATTGCATGTAAAAAATATTCTTTTAGAACATTAAAAAAAAAATTTAGAACAAGAGATTCATAAAATATATATTACATTGCATTTTAAACAGAAGAACTTGAAAAAAATTACATTGCATGTATACTACAAAAAAGAAAAATAGAAATGATCACTGCATGTAGAAAAAAATAAGTATAGATCTATATTTAAAATATAAAAAATATGCATGTATAATATATTTTTTTAATTTAGAAATTTTTAAAATATTTAAATGATAAATTATTTTAGGGATAATTATTTGGGCACCATTTACGAGGCAGAAAAGAAAAAGAAAAAAAGAAAAGAAGGCAGAAAGAAATTTAAGACGAATCATGGGTGATAAAACAGAACACACACACGGCTAAGAGACAATGAAAATATTGATAAGTAACAAATGGCGAAAGAGTGTCATTACAATGACAGGGAAATTCTGAAAAAAAAAAAAAAAAAAGAAAGAAGGAACCAGATGTGTTTTGATAACGGCTATGTTATCTAAGATATGGTGCTGTAAACAAATGGCTGGACCACTGGCCAGGAAAAAAAATTCAAATGAAAATGTTATTTCGATAAGTGACGAAAACAGGCCACTAAAAGGACTTTGGACAGATATGAAAAATTAAATCCCACACAAGAAAGTCCACTGACCGAATTTTTTCGACGGAACAACTTTTGCCTGCGATAATAAAATTATGTTATCAGAAATATGTACCGAAGGAAAATGAAATGGGAACCAGAAATGTTTTTTTTCTTCCTTGGAGGCGACAGACTGACTGAAAACTTTGGGGATAATTTTTTTTGAGGCCATGTTAAAAAAACCACCCATTCTGATAATTAGCGATAAACTACCTGACAAAAAAAACGTGTTGAACAAAGAGTTGTCATATTGTCCGTTTGTGGCTAGAGAAATGATAACGGCGATTTTTTGAAGGAAGAAAAAGAAAAGAAGAAGAGATAATTTTTTTTTTTTTGTTAAGCAAGATATTTTTTTTTTTTCCCGAAACAAAGCCGCGGATTGTTCACGCCCGACTAAGACATCATTGGTCAAGTAGTGATCACGTGACGCACGAAGGAGGAGGAAAGATACCCGACCAAGACCTCATTGGCCGAGAGTGATCACGTGACGCACGAAGAAGGCTGTCGACGCCCCATCCAGAGTATAAGTATGAGAAGCTGCTACGAAGAAGTGGGGAGGGAAGTTCACGCCCCTCAGAAGTATGGTGAGAAAGTGGGAGTGAGAAAAGTTCCCAAAAATGGAAAAAGAGTGGAAAATCCCTAACCAGAAATAAAAAGAGGTGGATATGTATTTAGAATTATCGAGGAACCCCCCGACGCCAACAGACCCACCCCGGTTTTGGTCGGCGTCCATATAAAAAACCAGGCCCCAACAGGCAGAAATCAGTTCAGGGCTCTGGCGGCAGAGATGAGTTCCAGAGTTTTAGTTCCAGTTCCAAAGCCGCCTCGCAGATAGCTGACCAAGATTCACGCAAATTCCGGACTCCTCTTCAACCCAAGAACAATTATTTTGAAGAGCGACTTAGAACCAGACCACCAAAATAAGTTTTTTTTCGACTTTCGTCCAAAGACACACCGAAACACCAATTTCTTAGAGAGCAAACAACTTGAAGCGTTAAAAAAAACTGCCTAACGGAAAACGACGTGTCACAATCCACAGAACGGGTCGGGAGATAGATGCAGTCCTATGTATCGAACAACTAGACATAAAGTTTGTTACCTTTTTTCTTTGATACTTTGAACTTTTTGAGTTTTCATTTTATTTCTTTTTATGCATATTTGTGTGTTATCACCCCGTTGAACTCAATTTGCATTACGGCCCCAACCACTGTTTGATCTCGTCTGTCTAAGATCAATTCACAACGTGGGTAGGCAGAC